CCCATTTCTCATCTTCTAAATTAATGTCGGCGTCCTCTCGATATTCCACACTCTTTCCATTTTGAGACCATCATCCAACTAATAACTCCAAAAGAAGAAGAAGAAGCTCGTGTCATGTCGTGTTGGATGTCAATTGGTTTGTCTCTCTGGAATACCTCAGCCGTAATGCACCCATATGGTGGTGTAGTCGTTCACTGCATTCACTCTGTTTTTCCTAAAGTATTGTAGTGCTCATCTGAAGCGTGAGAATATGTGTGTAGAAACTATGAATGCACGGATTTTCGCGGATAATAGTATAGAAGAGTTCTATTAGAGGTTTTACGGTATGTGGAATGTTATATTTCAAACATTTTCTGTAAAAAACATGTATTTTCGAAAAAGTTTTGGGAAGTTTCAAAATTTGCCTAGACTTTCGGTGGGACCAAAAAAAAAATTTTTTTTGGAAAATGTAGAAAATGACTGAAATATGAAATTTCAAATCATTTTGAGTGTAACAAAAAAATTTCAAGTCCTAAAACCTCCAAGGTGTAGAGAAAATCAAGTTTGAAAATTGCCGATTTAACACTGAAAATGGAATTTCTGGCACTGAAACGAAATTTCAGCACTTCAAAGGTCTCGTAAGCAGACTTTGAAAACGGATTTATAGGTTTTCAAACATGCTCTTTCGATCTATGCAAATGGTTTCTGCTGACTCCTACCTTCACTTAAAAGGTTCCCTTGTGAGCCACTTTTTTAACTATTAAATCTAAATTCAAGTGGAAAAAAAACATGCAAGGTGATTTTCAAAAACTTATCACTTCCTTGACAAAGCCTGACTTTCTTTCTGTTTCTTTTTTGTCTTTTGCTGTCCAAACGAATTCCCATACTTTTTTTCTTATATACCTACATTCCCACACTCTATGAAACGATTCCCGGAAAAGCGTAAAAACTGCAAATTGTACGTAAAAATTTTTAGCTGGAAAAAGGGAGAAAGTACAGATTTCAGTCTTTGCGATTCCGTCATGTTTTGTTTTCTGGTCTTGACTACAAGTTTCAAAATGTGAAAATTGTGTTTAGTATTTGATCCGTTTCTGATCTCAGTTGTCACCTCACATTTTTTGGATTTGGCCAAGAATTTTTTGTACCACCCTCTGTTTCCTATTCTTCCATTTATTCGACTCTTCTTCTTTAATTTTCCCAACAATTACCTTTTTTCTTCAGATTAACCACTTAATTCAAGCTGACCAGCGATCAAGAAAGCGATCATTCAGAAAACGACCATTTCGGTCATCAAGGTGAGTATTGTTTTGTAATCGCACTCTGGCTGCCTCCACTTTTTTTTTTCGAAAAACTTGAAAAACCATTTTTTTGCAGGACCTGGTCCTATTGATCATCTCGAGGCCATGAACAATCAAATCGGTCAGAATCATCCATGGAATTTGGAGCAGGAGGAAGAGCCGTACAATCAGTTTTATCGTCCACAACGACCGAGGCAACAGCAACACCAGGCTCAACAGCAACATCAGCAACAAGTGCAACAGGATCCTCAAAATGTACGTAACCACCACAATCAATTTTATCCTGAGGGTCAAGAACAAAATCGGATGAATGATAATGGACGATTGGATCTGCAACATCAACGGGACCGCCGTCTAAAGCTCCATCCACATTATCGTCCATATGTTCAGATACAGGAGAATGGTCAGCAGCAGCATCTAAACCAGCAGTACCAGCAGAGGATTCATGAGCATGGTCAAAGGAATCAGGTTCATCAACGGGACCACCAGCCACAGCTCCATCCACATCATCAGAGACAAGAGAATGGCCAGCACCATGGTCAGAATCTGCAAAACCAACAGCATGTTAATCAGCATGGTCAAATGAATCAGGTGCTTCATCACCAGCAGCAACAAAATCAGTTTCACCAGGAAGGCAACGATTCCAAGAAGTCCAACACCACCAAGTAATTCTTCATCGGAATCAACAACAACACCACCAGGTACATGATCGCATCCAACGTCATCATACAAACCAACAATGGCACCACCACCAACAAAATCAACAACCGCAGCAGCCAATAAATTGTAGGGATATGCATCAGAGTGAGCAGCTTGTTCAAAATCAGAATCATGATCTTCGACAGAATCCGAACCATGATCTTCGACAGAACCAGAATTCTGATCTTCTACAGAATCAGAATCAGCAGCTCTTCCAAAATCAGAATCAAGATCTTCGACAGAATCAGAATCATGAGTTTCGAGAGAATCAGCAACCTGATCGTCAAGCCCAAGGTCAACACCACCGCATGCATATGCCCCACAACAACCAGGTGCATCTCCAGAGGCGCCATGGTCCAATTCCAAGTGAGTCAATTGATTTTTATCTCAATTAGCGAATAGATCAAAAAGTTCCAGCACATCATCATCACCTCAATGCTAATCGTTACAACCCGATTGTTAATGATCAGAACACAAGAGGTCGGCCAACGGCAGTTGAGCAGAACCGCCGGGAACAAGAATTGGGAGCTATGAATGGTTAGTTTTGGATTTTCAGAAAATTTGAATTTGGGCCCTTTTTCAGAAATACCACATCTTCAGAATGGTGATCCTTTCTACAACGGCGGGATTCATTTTCAAGGTAGATAGCTAACTTTTTGGATTCTTCAGAGTTTATTGATTTTTCAAGGAACCAATGGGGTGATCCGATGCTCGGGCAGTTCAACCAGGAATTACCAGAAGCTTCTCGTCAAGTTGGAAATCCACCAATCCACTTGAATGGTCCAGCAGTTGCCCAGATGCAACAAAGTCTAATCCCAGTTCCTCAAGATCCGATGGTCAATCCTCAGCCTCTTAGTAAGCCTTTTTTCGTACTAAAAATTGACTACAGATATTTGCAGATCCAGAAATTAAAAGATTGAGGGAGGAAAACAGACAGCTGACAGATAGAATCGTTGCTCTTCACGATCTGCACCCGATTTGTGAGTTTACGACAAATGTATTCGCGAATGAGATTCATTTACAGCCCAAGAAGATCTTGCTCTTCTTCAAAAGGAGTTAGGAGAATTGAAAGGAGCCAAAACTCGTCTGGAAACCGAAAATTTGGCGCAGAAGCAGGATCTGGAGAGGGTGACAAATTTGTCGTGCAAAACGGGTCAAGAGAACACAGCGTTGAAATCTAGGAATGTATATTTGGTGATGAGAGTGAAAGTTCTTGAAGGAGGTGAGCTTGAATTTCTCTGGAAAGATGAAAAATTACGAATTCTAGAATTGGCTAAAAGTCATGGACGCCAATCGTCCGCAGCTCCTATTCCAGCCGTCGACCTATCTGACGGAACTACCAGCATCAAAAAAGAGATTGTAGAAGATCATGACGACATCCGACCAGACCATGAAGTCAGAGTGGTGGCTATGGTCAAGAGCAAGAAGAAGGCAATCAAAAGAGAGGTAATAGAAATGCCAAAAACTGCAAAAGAGGCCGTGGAACGGTATGAGGAAATGTTCGAAGGCAAGATAATCATCTCCGAGCGATTTGGTGAGTTTTCTGGCACAAACGTCCGGATTTTTTCCTCTAATTTTCAGACATCCGATGCTTCTTGTTTGACAAAACCGAGCCGGGTGAAGAAAAAAATGGAAAATGGGTGCCGCGAAAAGTTTTGAAGGCGTGCCAGCTCAGAAACTTCTATCAGCACTTCCGGCCGAAAAGAGAAAGTGAGTTTTATATTTCTGGGAAGTTTATATTTTAAAGATTTTCAGATCCAGAATGGAAAGAAGTGAAAAACGATGCGAAGGTTGAAGAGAGGTGGAGGAAGAGATGGATGGCGGTGAGGGAGGAGCAAATTGCTCAGTACCATGCTGGACTAATCTTCTTTAATGATGATTATAAGAATTTGAATTTGTAAATGAGATTTTTTCGATTGTATATGTCTATATAAGATATCTAAAGGGTTTTCTTTGTAGTTCGTCAGATTTTTCTCTTGTTCAGTTTCCCCGAATTCTCAAATATCATGCCTCTTTTTCCGCTTCTTCCCATTGATTCTTATGTATCTTCGATTTTTTGGATGCTTTGACATAAATGTTTCAAATTAACTTCAGAATACAGTACTCCTTTTGAGATTGGAGAAAATATTCAACTAGAGATCTGGATGCCAAAACTTCTAAATTAATTTTTGAGATTCTGAATTCCGTTTTCTAAAAATCCAGGAAAAATGCCTGAAAATGAAAGTGAGATTCCTGAAAACGCAATATTTCGTTAATTAGTGTTAATTAGAATTTCAATTAAATACTTATAATTGAAATTGCGAAAACTTCTCTTTGTTGATTTTTTTTGGGTTTTTTTTCACCAAAAAATGTTCTCGAAGCATTTTTTTTGTTCATCCAGAAACACACATCTAATGCATTTTTGTTTTGATTTCACAACAAAATCTTGGTTTCTTTCTTTTCTTTTCGTTTCATTTTTTTGTAGATTGCAAAATCAGCAGGTTGTTTTTTTCAGATTTCAAAGTCTTTTTTAGTTTTTCTGGAGTTTGTGTTTAAATAAAACGTTGTATGCCCTCTTTCTCCCCTTGCCCAACTTGCAAAGCTGTAATTACCGTAAAACCTCTAATAGAACGACACCCGGATCGTCCACTTTGAGCCTATATATCTCACTTCTTTTGAAAGATATCAAAAAGTTGTTAACTAGTAAAATGTTTATCAGGATATCAGCAACATTTTATTAGTTAGCCACTTTTTGATATCTTTCACAGAAAATGAGATATATAGGCTCAAAGTGGACGATCCGGGTGTCGTTCTATTAGAGGTTTTACGGTAATACTTTACTTTTTCTAATTTTCCTTTTCCGAGTATTTCAAAATTACACGATATAAAAAGATTGCCTAACCCACACATTATTTTCTCTTTTTAGAAAATCCCATAAGACATTATTGGATGCCGTTTTTTTCCATAGTTACACCCTTGGATACAAACATAACTTTTGGCTTTTTAACTTTTTTAATGTTTGATTTTACGATTCTGAAAAATTTTGGGAAGAATGGTACGTTGTACTACTAGAGTGGAACTCAATTATTCGTCGTTTTTTGTACAATTTCTTTCTGTAGAACCTCTAATAAAGGGCCCCAAAATGTCAAGTTCGAGCTCAATTACCTCGGCAATGTATCAAACATGTGTCAACTAAAAACACACTTCTGATATCATGATGCACAATTTATCAGTTGACAAAATTTTTCAAACTTCGACAGAAACCGAGATAAATTGGCTCAAAGTTGAGAGTTATAGTCGCTAACTTGGCTCGGTGCCAAAGTTCAAATGAAGTCCCCTTCCGAGATGCCATGTGTTGGTGTGTGTGTGTGTCTCCAGCACTATGCGATGGTATTTTCTATCATGTCCCCTCTATACTTGTTCCTTTCCATCCTGCGTGTCCATTCTTGCCTCTGTATTTCATCTCCTATCCGTGTGGGCTTGGTACACTGGCTCCTCCCCATTTTCTCGCTTGTGTAATGATCATCATTCCAAATGTATCACTTCCAACACAGAAGGCCTGACTCTATTTCTGTTTCTTCTATTTTCCCTGCCTTTTGCTCTCTAACCAAATTCCCATATTACCATTCCAAATCTGCTTCTCCTTCCCGTTCCATCCGAATTCTCGCACTGTTTTTTTACCACACGATACCCAAAAAGCGTATAAACTGCAAATTTTGCGTATTGCCAACGCGTCTTCAATTTTAGACTGAAAAAAGGAGAACAGTTCGAAATTAATGAGGATCAGCTATCTCCTAGTCTCCTAATCTTAACTACAAGTTTCTAAAATTAAAAATTGTGTTTAGCATTTGATCCAGTTCTGATTCCAGCCTGCATGTCTATGTTTTTACGTTATCATCACATTTTTTTCTACTTTTTCCAGGATTTTAAATCCTAACCTCATGCTTCTGGACTCTCACTTTCCTTTGACTTTTTTTCTATTCTTTAATTCTCCCAACGAGTCCCTTTTTTAGCTAAACCAGTTTCAAATCGTTTCATTTCAACTCAAGTTGAAGCCATGAACAACCAACATGACCATCATCAAGGTGATTCTTCTTTTGTAGTCTAGCTGTTTCTACTTTTTCCCCTATTTCAAAAATTGAAATTCTTTTTTTTTTTTGCAGGTATTGGTCCTATTGACCACCCCGAGGCCATGAACAACCTGCTGGATCAGAATCGTCCGTGGAATTTGGAGAATGAGGAAGAGCCCTACAATCGATTCCATCCAAATCCACAAAGACAACAACAACATCAGCATCAGATGCAACAAGATCCTCGATATGATCTATCTCACCACAATCAATTTTATCCTGATATTCGAAGAGAACAAAATCAGATGGATAATCAAAATCATGGGCAGCAGCTTCCAAATAATGACAAAGTGGATCAGCAACGAGACCACCAGAACAACCAAATCCAACAGCAGCAAAACCGCATTTTTCCACATTTTCAGCTGCAGGAGAACGGACAGCAGCACCTGAACCATCAGAACCAACAGAGGATTTACGAGCATGGTCAAATGAATCAGATGCATCAACGGGATCAACAGCCACAGCTACAACTTCAGCACAATGGCGAGCAGCAGCATCTCAATCAACATCAGATTCATCGGCATGGTCGAATGAATCAAATGCACCCTCACCAGCTACATCCACATTTTGTGAATCAACAAGGACCACAGAACCAGCCACACCCGCACCCAGCTTCTCAGAAGGGACGTCAGCTGAACCAGCAGCATCGGAACCTGCAGCACCATGCTCGTCCCAATCGCCACCATCAGCAGTCGATCCAAATCCATCAAACTCCAGCTCTTCTGCCAAACCAATGGAACCATAACCAGCAGTTGCAACAGTGGAATAAACATCACATGCTTCATCCGCACTTTCAGCACCTCAACTTCCAGCAACAGCCTCCAGGACACGGTGAGTTCTAGAACATTTTTAGCTAATTTTAATTTGATACTAAGTCTAAAACTCACTGATTGTAGGGCATCATCAAGTTCAACGGAATGCCAATCGGTACAATCCCATATTCAATGATCAAGCGAGAAGAGGACGTCCGGAAGGAGCAGCAATGGGACTTCAAAATGGCTTTGTGGATCATCAAAGCGCTCATCAGATGTCAAGGCAGACCACTCCGGGTCCGATGTCGATGCTCCATGCTCCAGTTCCACAGGATCCGATTCCTGAAGGTGAGACACATACGGTTTATTTAAAAAAAACGGTATTTTCAGTTGAACTTCAGCATCAGCATGGTCCAGTTGAGCCAGAGAAAGCCGAAGAGCACAAAGCTCTTGGTGAGTTTTGGAAGTTACTATGTTTTTTTTAATTTGAATACTTACAGAGCTGGTAGCTGCAAGGCAGAGAGAGGAGATCAAGTTGCTGACTGATGCCAACATGAAGCTCCGTCTAGAAGTGGAGACTATCAACACTCGCAGGAATGAAGAGAGGATGGAGTTCCAGAGAAGTGAGAGCTGAAAAAAGTTTGATTCAATTGTAGTTAATTTTTTTAGAGATTGAGAAAAAAGACGGCGAAATCGAAGAATTGAAATCGGTCGCATTCGAGACTGGGCAAAAGAATCAGCGGCTGGAGATTCAGAACAAGGAGTTTGAGCAGAGGCTCAGAAGATTTGAAGAGGGTAAGTTCCATATTTACACAAAAAAAAACTTACGAATTTCTTCTTCAGGAGTCAACCAACCGATGTCTTTGGGATTCCATCAGTCAGCGTCATCAGGATTCCACCAGCCCTTGCCTTCTGCATTCAACCTGCCTGCGTCGTCAGGGTTTATCCAGCCGACGTTTTCCGGCTTCAACCAACCGACGGATTCTGGATTCCATCAGCCGACGTCATCAGGTTTCAACAATCCGACGTCTTCAGGATCCCATCAGCCGACGTTGTGGTCAGCAGCCGCTCCAGCTCCGATGACTTCTGCAGGTCCCAAGATTCGGCCGATGAAGATCAAGAAAGAGCCTTCTGATGAGTCCTATCGGGACATGATCGTCGACGAATCCGAAGTCAAGGTGCAGAAAATTGTGCGCCAGCCAAAAAGAAGGATCCCCACTACTGTCCAGATGCGGGAACTCCCGAAGACCGGATCCGAAGCTCTTCATCGGTGGGAGCAGGAGTTCAAGAACAAAGAGGTTCTTCCAGCTCGCTTCAGTGAGTTTTTTAAACAATTTTTTTCTGAAATTATTATCATTTTTTTGAATATTCAGAGATCCAGAAGTTCCTATTCGATCCCAGCACAGTCAGAGTGGATGACAATAAATGGGATCCCCAGGTGGTCACAAAGGCTACGAATCCAAGGATGTTCTTTTTGAACCAAGTGGTCCATGGATGCGGTGAGTTCTACTCCATTTTTCTAAGAAAATATGCTCATTTTTGATTTTCAGGAGAAATCGGAGGATGGGATGCTGTGAAATCATCAAAGGAGCGGAAGGACAGATGGGATGCGCGTTGGACCATGCTGAGAGATGAGCAGCATCTACAGTATGCTGCTGGTCTAATTTTTTTCAAAGGGGATTACGAGTTTTTGAATCAATCCCGGAATCAGAATTCAGAAACCCCGAGTTGTTGATCTCACCTTTTTTCTATTGTCCCACCGCATCCTCACTCTTCTTATCCCCACTTGTCCGAAATTCCATGTGTCCCAAATCCTCTGATCCCGAGATTCTTCAAATTAGTTTTCATTTCTTGTGTCTTTTTGTCTTCTGATTCCATAATTCCGATTCTCTGTCTTGACTTTGATATGTCGTTTTGATGTCAGGTTCACTTCTTGCTTCCACAATTTCTCTGAAACACTATTCCTCGAATATATGTAAATCTGAAAAATATTGATTTTAATAAATTATATGACTTACTTTACGCTTTCTTTATAGATTTTCAGGACAATTTAAAACCAATGACAGCATCAAATCTGCAACTTTTCAGATTTTCATACCAAATAAAAAAAGTGAGTAGCGTTGTTCGAGTTTGAAAATACGTGAGCTCGCACGTCCAATGGGGCGCACTTGCATCGATTCCCGAACACGCGACGCGTCGTGAGCGCGTCACACACACAATATGTATCAGTCGCCTGTCAGAAAACGTGTAGTAACGAGGAGAGAACAGAGAAAGGGTACGACCCAGTTCTTTTCGTGCATAGATGCAAAAAATGGGACCGATGTGAGAAGACAGTGGAGACGAGTATGGGGCAAAGGGTGGAGAACGTAAAGTGGGATGTGTGAAAGAGGGCGGGAGTAGAACTTGGAGATGATTGATACCGTAAATGCAAAAAAATGGAAGCCTACCCCCTACTTTCAAAATAAGGAAAATATGGCAACGGCTATAACTCCTTATAATTAGAAAAATATGCTTAAATTCGTTATTTGATGCTTCGATGAACGCTGAAAGTACCGTAGACATTATGATTAAAGGGGGACTCCGACCAAAAATTTTTTTGCATTAAAATGTGTTAAAAGTTATCTGTTCTTCAAATATTATTGCGAAAAAATTCAAAGAAAATCCGAAATCCCCGAAAAACGGCGTTTAAAAGGAAAAAAATTCAAAAAAAAAGTGCCGCCGGGGGACGAGGATTTTCAGTGAGAAACCTAGGCCACGGCACCTGACAGCCTTTTTTTAAGTCGCCGACAGTGGTTTTTTACGTTTTTTACCTGCCGGACATGAAAACCGAAAAAAATCCGGAAAATTTGCCACGTAGGAAAGGCGCCCGCTGCCGTGGCCTAGGTTTCTCACTGAAAATCCTCGTCCCCTGGCGGCACCTTTTTTTGAATTTTCTTCCTTTTCAACGCCGTTTTTCGGGGATTTCGGATTTTTTTCGAATTTTTTCGCAATAATATTCTGAAAATAGATAAGTTTTAACACATTTTAATGCAATAAAAATTTTTGGTCGGAGTCCCCCTTTAAATAATCGAACTAATTTTCAACATTAAGTTCATATCTCATTTCATTTCCTCGAAAATATATCAGGAATCTGTCAACTGATAATATCACAAAAATTTTATCAGTTGACATATCTTTGATATCTTGCATGGCAATTGGGATAGTTGAGCTCAAACTAGACAGCGTGGCGTCCCAGGTTTTACCGTATTTTACCTGGAAAAAATGTTGAGAAAACTGTTTATAGGTTCCCTATGAGAGGTTCCCAACCCATTTTTTTTGAAAATTGATTTTTTTTTGATTTGTTAACGATTTGGGATGATGTGTCAAAAATTGGCAAGTGGGTTTCGGAAAAAGGAACTCAAAAATAATTTAGATGCCTTATTTCTTAGTGTACATAAATACGGAATTCTTATGGTAAACAACCTTGAAAATAGTTTCTGAAAGACGCAAGCCGCCATTGTATGTTTTGATTCGGACGACAAGGCTTTCATAATACCGGAAAAACAATTTCTTTTGGAAAAAAATAACTCATTTGAATTCAAGTTTTTGAAGCTTGCTGATTTTTAAACTTCATTCCGTGAATAGTCTAATAGAGGCTTTCTTTAGGTTCAGTTATCTTGGTTCTTTTCAAAGTTATCGAAAACTATTTAACTGATAAAACATTTAACAAAATTTCACCAACATTTTATCAGTTGCCAGATTTTCGATATCTTGCATAAGAACCAAGAAAACGTAGCGCAAACTTGTCAGGGTTCTTCTATTACAGGTTCTACATTAATAATCGATAATTTTTCTAGTTTATTCCTTCTGTTACTTGTACACATATAAACACCCAATGATCCTCCCTTTGACCCTTTCTAATTCCGTCTGTTTTGATGACCCACTTGCTCAGATGACCTCCATGCATGCGCAACACACACTGCTCATCCGTTTTTTTGTCAAGTCGAGGATAGATATCCGTAGTAGCAGAAGGTGTACAATTCATTTCTGGGGCAACAGTCAACAACTCTTCTCAGAAAAGTTGGTATTTAAAAAATTGAATATCCAATATTTGCTTTGTCTTTTCACTTTTTCCCGCATTAAAACGCCTCCTCTGATTGTGATCCTATGCAATTAAATGAGAAATTTTCTTTTTTTTTAAATTCACTTTTATTCATTTAATTCTTCATCTTCTTCTTAACCAAGTTCAATTTACAGTCTTTACAGTCATTCAAAGAACAACAATGACACCAAGAATTCTCCGCCGTGCTCCATCTGGTTAGTTTTGTCCATTTTCATGTACCGTATCCGTTTGAAACACTTTTTTAGAATCGACACTTCATAAAAAGAACATGGAGCTTCGTCAGGATAAGCTGGCTCTTCAGGAGCAAATCCGAGTGCTTGAGAAAGAGGCAGCGAATCGTAAGATCTGAAGTCGTTACTGTTTTACAATGGATTTTTCAGGTATCGATTGGTTGGAGAGAAAGTATGATGACCTCGCTTTGGAATATCAAAATCAGGCGGAGTCATTGCAAAGAAAAGATAAGGAGCTTGAGGAAAGAGATATGCTAATCGAAAGACTACTTCGGGAGAAGGGCCAGAGCAAAAATGGTCGGTTTTAGTTTTAATTACCTTAGAAGAGACTCTTCTGTTAGATTTCAGGACACCTGTCTCCTTCCATTCCCAACGGTGCCTTCCCAACTTTCGAAGATGCCGTCAAGTACGTCAAGGTCCGTTTCCCGCTGCCACAGATCGAGAAAGTTGACGGTATGCTCAAAATTAGTCAAAAAATTTTAAATAACTAGATTTCAGATCTGGATCGCTATCTTTTCAATGTGAATGATGAGAAAAGAGTCATCCACAGTTGAAAATTAGAGTGAACAGTGGTTATCACCTATATCTGCATGCGCATAGAGAAGAAGGTTATTGAGAGATTTGAAGTAAAAATGAAGATAAATAAATTCTAGGAAAAGCATGGGAAGATATTGATAAGGACGAAAAATTTGAATGGCGGATGAGATGCAAGCAAATCGCCAGAATTCAAAGAGCTCAAGTCGAAGCGGGACTCATCTACCACTCAGAAGTGAAGAATTGAAAGTTTTGCGTGTTTCCTGTAAAAATATTATTGTCTCATTCGTCGTTGAGAGGTGAAACTGTAATACCTTTCATATCTCATATTATACCGTACAACCTTTAATCGAAGCTCCCCCACACTGTCAAGTTTGAAGTCATTATCTCATTTGCTATGCAAGATATCACAAATTTGTAAAAAAAATCCTTCAAATTTTGAATAACTTCTTTTTATTGTTTTTCGGATCACTTTGTTCTTTAAACAAGTTTCGATTATCTTTGAATCCTTCTTCTATCATCTTTACCTATTTATTTTTTTATTCAAACCTTCTTGTTAGTAATGACTCATCATCTAATCATTACCCTATTCTACCATCTCTATGAGCTCCTCTCTGTTCTTGGTGTTTCGCTTTTCGAAATGTATGGTTTTGTCTGTCGTCTCTCTATCTTTTTTATGCGTCCCTCTACTTCTCTGACCTGTATGCCTGGGAACATAGCTTCTAGACACTGTTGCGTTATGAGACCGGTGGTACGCGCCACCCCTTTCTGTCCTCTTTTCTCTACTTCTCTCTCACCTTTTTGTTATGACGCGAGGCCCCCTGTTAGCTACCCATTTTGGCCTAACTTTCTGTATTTGTTCTTTTTTAAAACAAAAAAAAATTGGGAACATAGGGTTTTTGATAGCCTTCTTTTTGATTTCGAAATTTCATTTTTTTGTGTGGACCCCATTTATCCAGTGATTCATGTTATGCAAATTGTGTTGTTAGTTTTCCATAGTATTCTCCCCACTTTTTATTATTTGTTACCGTACTATTGACCAGCCATCTGTCTTTTTCAGTTTCAATACTTCAACATGATCAACCAACGCGTAAACCTTCCAAATGGCGGAGCTCGTCGTCTCCCGCATGTTCAACGAGTTGCTCCGACGGCATCCCACCCTCCAAGTAAGTTGCATTTATTGCCCCTTTTTTCAAATCCAATGTTTTTAGTGGTCTATAAAATTCATCCGGATCAAGTGTGGCCAACATTGAAAGCCGAGAATCGGAAGAACCGAGAACTTCAAAATAGTGAGTGTCAAAATTTTTGCAAAAATCAATTGTAGAAAACCTTGTTTCAGAGGTCACAGAACTTCAACAGAATCTTGACCATTTCGAAATGAAGGCTTCGAATGCCACAAAGCAGCTCGAAGAGGCCGAGAAACGAAACCGTGAGCTTCAAGGAGAGCTTCAGCAGTGGAGAAGTGGTGAGTTCAGCCCTAACTTTTAACTTTGAGCCGAATTATCTCGGTTCCTGTCAACTATATGGAAAAGTTGTCAACTGATAAATTACCGTAAAACCTCTAATAGAACGACACCCGGATCGTCCACTTTGAGCCTATATATCTCACTTCTTTTGAAAGATATCAAAAAGTAGTTAACTAGTAAAATGTTTATCAGGATATCAGCAACATTTTATTAGTTAGCCACTTTTTGATATCTTTCACAGAAAATGAGATATATAGGCTCAAAGTGGACGATCCGGGTGTCGTTCTATTAGAGGTTTTACGGTATTTAGCATAATATCACCAACATTTTATCTGTTAACACATTTTTAATATCTTGCACGGGAGCTAAGAAACATTAGCTCAAACTTAAGATTGTAGGACCCTTCTATTACAGGTTTTATTGTAATTGAGTTTTAGGAGCGATCAAGCTTGCTTGCCACTGCGATGGAGTAGATCTTAACGTCTTCGAAGATTTCGAGATGTTCGAGGAGGAAAGGACGGAGGAGCAAGATCATTCTGAGATCCCGTTCAATGCTTCTGACCAGGATAATGCTCAAATCGATCATTTTAACGGAGACAGATTCAATGCTCCAAATGAATCCGTCATGCAACCGCCCATCTATTTGAGCTTTCAAGATGCCGTCAGAATCGCTAGAGAGGAATTTCCAACGCCCTTCATTGCAGAATGTCGTGGTAAAACTAAATTTGAATACTCGAAACGATTTCATAACTTTTTCAGATCTGTCGGTGTACCTCTTCAACGAGAATGGCCCGGAGGAATTGCCCCAATCCAAGAAGCCCCTCAACAGTGCTTATAATTTTTACCGCGTGCAATCTGCCCACAGTAGACAAAGTAAGAATGTTGAAATTGAGAGAAATCTAGCTAAAACTACATTTGCAGTTGAGTGGAAGAAGTTGACGGAAGAGGAGATGAGAGGTTGGATAGAGAAGTTCAATTTGGTTCGTATGGCGCAAGTGGCACAATGCCGAGCAAATTTAATTGTTTACGAGCCATCGGTGAACCAAAAAAAGAAGATGAAGAAGTTGGGATGCAGTAGCGGTCAATAATATGTATATTCAAAAACGCATTTTTCAGTTGATTTTTGGTCATTCTGACTATTTTCAGGAGCCTGGAGCTCGGGTGTCAAGTTTCCATGCCTTTTGAAAATTATGAAGGGTGTAAAACATGATAGATTGAAAATTTTGTGTTTACAGCATTTTTAGAAAATTATTTTTTTCCGATTTCTGAAAGACACCCCTTTCTACTCGCTTTTCTATTGAATACATGAAAAACAGGTGTCGTTCAGAAATCTGCAAATATGTAGCTGAAAAACTAGGAATTTTCAAAAAATTCTATGAATGTAAAGTTTTCCATCTAGGTCTGTTTTATAACCTTCAAAATTTTCAAACTGATCGGAAACTTCACAGCCGAGACTCCTGAAAATGGTCAAAATCAAATGAAAAACACGTTTTTGTATATCTTATTTCTGTATAAGTTTATCTAACATAATCTGATTTTTTTAATGTTTTCGTTCTCTAAATATGTTTTCAAATAAAAATTTTATTGAAACAAATTTTTTTATTTGAAACATCAGAAAAATAACAAACTTCAATACTTATTCCAAAATTACAGAAAGTCAAAGTTTGGTAGAATATTGAACTGAATTGGAATCACAATTTGAAACAACAAAAAATAACAAACTTCAATACATATTTCAAAATGAAAAAAAAAAAACTCAATTTTTCTTCGGGAGCATGATTTTTGCCATTGGTTGCTTCAACCAAGCCGAGAAGAAGGTGACCAACGGGTGATGAAGGATGTCGGAAACCGATCCTTCTGCGAACAGCTTTCTGATATTTCTTATTACTAAAGAATAATGGGATAATGTACCTACCGCAGCTCCTCCCTTTGAGATGAATTTGAATTTTCGATGACCTTCACTCCGTTGTTTTGAAGAATATTGAGGCTGAAAAAATTAAATTATTTTTGTAGAAAGATTTTCAAAAACTCACATCATCAGCAAATCCTTCACATCCAAATTTCTTTTTGTGTCTCCTTGACGGTCACTATTGGAGTCCAAAAACTCGACAAGACAAGTCTTCATTTCCCCAAGAAGCTCAGTCACTGATTCCGGAGAGGTACTCATCAGGAAAAGATCAAAGCTGCAAAATGAGAGACGCTGTTCAGTATGTCTGGGAGGAACATACAAAAGAGGAGCGCTTGGAAAAAAAATTATGGCGCAAGGAAATAACGTGAGAACAACAGAGACGCAGAGAGGGAGACAGGCAGACAGGCAGCGAATGGTATTTAGCTGATTGTGAAACAAATGAATCGTGTTTTTCTATATTTTTGTGGTAGTTTGTGGAAATGTCCTAGAAAACACACTAGGCTAATATCAGGCCATTTGTAGCTCATTTACCATGGTGGCCTAGAAAACTCAAAATGCAAAAGTTAGGCCACCACGTTAAAATGACATAGAAAACACACCAAATGAATATCATGCCATTTCTAGGCGAATTACCATGGTGGCCTAGAAAACTCAACTTGCAATAGTTCAGCCACTATGTTAATAGGGCGTGGAAAACACATCAGGTGCATGTCAGACTATTTCTGGACAATCAACCACAGTGGCCTAGAAAACTCCACTTGCCACAGTTAGGCCACCATGTTGAAATGAACTAGAAAACACGTCTGTTAATATCTGGCCATTTCTAGGCTATTCGCCGTCATGGCCTAGAAAAATAATGTTGAGAAAGTTAGGCCATCATGTTGAGTTTCTCAGTAAACACACCTGGCGAATATCAAGCCATTTCTAGGCCATTTAACATAATGGCATAGAAAATTCAACTTGCAAAAGTTAGGCCACCATGTCAAAACGGCCTAGAAAACACATGAATTTCCTAAAGTTGTTCAAATGTAACGAAAATCATCTGGAAATGCCAAGAATCTGAAAATTCGTGATGAAATCTCATAAATTTGAGAATTTCGAGGATTTTAAGATTTCCAAAATTAAAATATCTCGAAAAAATTTGTTTATACAAGGATCAAATTTTAATTTCAAATACCAAAAACTTTACCAAGGAAACAAAAAAAAATCAAAAAATAGCTTGAAAAATAAGTTACAGATATTTAAAAATTACAAATCCCATCATATGAATACGGATCCAAAATCATACATCCACCCAGCCATCCCATTTTTTAGTCTTTTTCGGCAAAAAGCTTGTTCTCCTTCTCACAAAATTATTCTCATCTCGAAGTGGGTTTCTGGCTCCTTTAATTACGATAAAAGTCGTTTTTGGCGGCGCCGTCTGGTCTTCTGAATTCTGAGGTTCTGGAATCGAAACGAGGAGTGAGAGGGATTTCGGAGCCACGAATTTTAGGAGTTTTTCTTCTTTTGTCTCTTTTGGACTAAGAATTGTGTTGTATTCAGGATCATCAAATACAGGATCCGAGATATTTAAATCCGGGTCATTCTTCATTGGAAATCCAAAGTCATACTCATCATATTTTGTTGGATCCTCATCTTCTACAGTAGGATTGTTGATCTTCGTGACAAGTGGCATTGGATTTTCTGAATTGGAGGGTCCAGAAGTGGAAGAATCATTTGAATCCCCAGGATCCTGATTGAAACTTTTATTGATTATTTCAGCTGCCAAAATCGGGTCCCGAAGTTGGGATACGGTACGTTTTAATGATGGTCGACCTCGTTTTTTGCTTCCTGATTGTGGAGTGATTTTCAATGATCGTCTGTTTTGATCCTTCTTGCGACGTTTACTTTCTAGAAAAAAAAGTAACATTTTGAAATGCTACAGTAATCAAAGAAGGCCCCAGTAACCAAAGAATTCAACATTAATCAGAGATTGTTACAGTAATGGAAGAATGCTACAGTAATTGAAAAATTTTACAGTAACCAAAGAATGCTACTGTAATCATAATTACCTTCCACAGCTGCCTCGTACTTTTCCTTATTGTTTGGTGAATCCAAAAACGCCTTTATCGAATCGTTTTTCTTACGGTAGCAGAAACTGGCCAGTGGTTCCCACGTCGTCGTGCTATCTGACTCCCATTTAGTTTCAAATACAACCTCGTTGTACTCGTCGATTTTCACATCGGTCACTTTTTCTACCTGGAAATACAGGAATTCCTTATCTTCTCAACAATTCGGATTTTTCAATTTTTCCCCTTCACCTTGAGCTCAATTATCTCGGTTCCCATGAGAGCTAACATCTGTCAACTGATAAAATGTTAGTGATCAAATAATAATTAGTTTATCAGTTAGCAACTTTTTGACGTATCTCATAACAACCGAGATAATCAAGCTTAAAGATACTGTCCTTTACAGAAAAATAACAAAATTTAGTGCACTTTAAGCTCAATTATCTCGTTTCCTACAAGAGATATCAGAAAGCTGTCGACTGATAAAATTTTGCTGATATCGTGATAAATATTTTATCAGCTGAAAATTGCTTGATATCTCTTATCGGAATGAAGGTAATTGAGCTCAAAGTTGATTAAAATGTTATACTTACCACCCATTCTTCTACTTTTTCCTTTTCCACATTCATTGACTTCTCTTTATTTTTCTTCGGATTTTCTGACCTTCAGTCTGCAATAAAAATATTTTTGAAAATGGGAAGAAAAATCCTTAAAAATTGACAAAAATAAATAAAGGTTTATGGTTAAAAATAGGAGTCAAAAATACCGCGGCCCAGAAACTGAAAAAAACTTTCTGAAAAAAAAAGGTTTTGATCTACCAAAATTTTTCAAGACGAGTCTGCAGATACATCTTATGGGGTACCATCTGAAAGCTAGAAATCTCCTGATTTCAAATCTATTATCAATTTTGACATCGGACTAATCAGTACCTAGTTACACACAAACCCATGTTCTGTAAACAAAAAGTACCAGATACAGACACACAAGTCATAACTGAGGAGGGTGTCTAATGGGTGTCAAAACATATCAAGTCTAGACAGTGTTGATCTTGAGGAGACGCGGAAAAAGGTAAGGTGAGAATTTCTTTTTCTGGTCATTTGTACTTCTTTTGTGTTCATTGAATGGTTCTTTTCTCTTTGCGCCTCCTCAGTTTCCTTGATCTCTAGATCTTGGCGCGAACTTTCGATTTGATAGTCAAAATGTGACCTTTTTGCTCTTTTATTGGATTTTTTGATCTCTTACTCTTTCCATCCACTTCCTAATTCCTCAAATTTTATAATCTATTTTCCAGGGATGGTTCACGACCATCCAACACCGAGTGCTGCTAGCTACGCGGAGAGTATAGTGAGCAATGTCGTTCGGCAAATAGTCTTCGACTTGCGTGCTGAAGTTTCCGACCGGACATCGCTTAAAAAGTTGACCAAACTTTTTGTCGAGAAATTGGACGGTTTAGCACAGACCACGAGGCTTTTTATGGAGCATGGTAAGCATCAATTACCGTTGAACGTGTAATGGAAAGGTCCTTTTAACTTTGAGCCAGTTTTTCTCGGTTCCCGTCAACGATAGAAAAAAATGTGTCCACTGATAAAATATTGCTGATAATATGGTAAACAATTCATTAGTTGAAAATTTTTTTATCTTTTACAGGAATCGAGATGGTTGAACTCAAGTTTGATAGTGTGCAGATCCTTCTATCACAGGTTTTACGGTATAGCGATACGTAAAAAATGATCAAAAAATTATATCAACTCGTAAAATTTTTATAGACTTTTACCATATTTTTTTGGATTAGAATTTGGCCATTTTTAACCAAAAATTAATGAAATCATAGAATTATTTGGCCGATACTGTAATTCGGGTCAAAATAACGAATTGAATTGTCTTAAACCTTGTGTTAGAAGAACTCCAACTCTGTAAACTTTGAGTTGATTAAGCTAAGCTCAATTATCTCAACTCCTATGCAAGATAGCAAAAATTTGTCAACTGATAAAGTTTTTCTGACATAATGATAAACAATTTATCAGTTGACAACTTTTTTCCATCTTTCACAGGAACCAGAATAATTGAGCTTAAAATACATAAACATACCGTAAAGCGTTCTAATAGAACAATCCATAAGCGTTCACTTTGAGCTCAATTATCTCAATTTCTCTGAAAGATATCAATAATCAATAATTTCAACTGATAAAATGTTTGTGATCTCATGATTAATATTTTATCAGTTGACAACTTTTTTGTATCTTCTACCCAGATAAATTAGCTCAAAGTCAAAAAGCGCGTTTCTATTACAGGTTTTATGAGATTAGATCATTGGAGTACTGTAGGATAAACTCAAATTTTCAGCTGGCCGAACCCAACCATCCATCCAGGATGTTCTGGCGGCGTTTCCCATCCATCGAATCGATATTCAGGATTTGATAGCGTCCGAGAGGGATAGGCCACCACTTCCGATTCCATCGGTGGGTCCCATTAGCCAAAAAATTAAAAAACTAGCTTTATTTTTTTTTCAGAGGTACCAATTCCCGGTCCCCCACGAAGAGGACTTCCATATGGCCGTGTATGGTCCCAAGCCGTCAGATCGAGAGCTCCGAATTCGCCCCGACAACATTCCCAGTTATCATAGAGCGATTCACCCAGAATGGTGCATGGAAAAAGAAGACGTTCCGATTCCGAAACCTCCAAAAATTGTGACAGTCACCGAGGAGGAATTTCGGGAGTTCAAGAAGCCCAAGTACCCATGGGACGAGAATCCAGATGAAAAAAGAAAACGTGAGGAGAAGGATCGACAGAAAGCCAAAGAGATTGCTCATGCCAAATCGCGTAACAAGAAGCGGTATGAAGAAGGGATTACGGCATTCAAGGATACGGATCTTCCGAATTTCGAGGATATGGCTTTCGTGGAGGTTTTTGAGGATTTGGAGTATAGTAGGATGCTAGAAGCAGGGAAAAATATGGATTCTGTGGCAAAGGTGGAGAAGTATCCTGGATCACCAGAGAAGGAGGTTGCTAAGAAAGATGAACTGGTTAGAAAGATTCCACATATCTTGAAAAAGCCAAAACCAGTGAAAAGGAGCACAAATTTGTTAAAGGGAACTTTACCAATGGTATGTTTGAAACTGTATAGACAGATTCTGGATTCTGGTTTTTCAAAATCTGATTTTCCAGACTCCGCTATCTGAACCACCAAAGTTCTCGACTCCAGAGCCACAGAAAAAGATTCCGACACCCAGAATAGATACTCCTCGTCCGCCACCTCCACTCCCAATGATCGCTCCGAATTTCCTGTTCCCAATTCTTCCACCTATGCCAACAACACCACCAGCAAGACCAGCACGTCTGAAGAAGAAGTCAGAGGCTTTTGATCCGAGCCCGACTCCCAAATTAGGCGGATATTTGACTCTTAAAATTAAGAAGAATCTCGGATACTTGGATAAGGTAAGAATTCCGAATCCCGGCGAAACTTCGAGCTCAATTATCTCGGCTCCTATGCAAGATATCGCAGATTTGTCAATTAATAAAATTCTTGCAATATTATGATAAACAATTTATCAGTTGACAACTTTTTCATATCTTTAACAGGAACCGAGATAAGTTGGCTCGAAGTTAACGGCGTTGACGGCCAGGGGATACGGTAACCTGAACCAATTTCAGCCAACTACTCCTGTCCAGCCTGTACTTCCACCACTCACCTGGCTCCCCGAAAGATCTGTCACACCAGATTTGCCAACTAAAACCGTAAAGCTCAAAATTAAATTTGGATCTGAGCAACTTCCCACGACTCCAGGAAATCAAGCTGTACCTCTTCCGCACACCCCATCCTCAAGATCCCCTCTGAAAATCCGAATCAGCTCGGCGTTGGTTTCAAGTTCAGAACCCAGGCAAAATGATTATGGAAAAGAGAATGGAGAGGAAGATGGAACCAAAGAAGAAGAGCAAAACTGTCCGATTTGCCACGTGGAATACGAGAAGGATGACAACATGGTGGCTTGCGACAAGTGTGAAGGATGGTTTCACTGGTAAGGAATTATTCAGCCGTTTCTCGGTTAGCCTAGGTTTTCAGGCATTGTGTTGGGATCACCGTCGAGCCGAAGGCTGCCCATTGGTATTGCTCGGCGTGTGTCAAGAGTCAGACGAAGTCTGGAAAGCGTCGGGGACGACCAAGTGGACTCCCAGATTCGGCGAAGAAGGCCAAGAAATAATAATTTTGTATTTTGTGTTATAACTTGTGTTATATTTTTAACTTTTGCTGTTTTATCATTGTTTATCACTACCAATTCTAATCCTGTTTGTTTTATCAATTTGATTTATCGGTTTATTTGTGGATGAATAATTTTCTGTAGTACGGTTTTTGGCATCCATAGGAGCACATGGGGCTCCATTGAGCTTAAGATTGTCATAATCGAGTCATTAGGACCAGGGGCTAGGCTCAACATAGACAGATGCTCTAGAAGCCGCCTTTGTGATTCCCTTTGAGCTCAATTATCTCGGTTATTTTAGAAGACATCAAAAAATTGTCAACTGATAAAATATTTATCATAATATCATCAACATTTTATCAGTTGACAAGTTTCTGATGTCTCTTATAGGAACCGAGATAATTGAGCTCAAACAGCAGATCAAATTTTCAATTAACGCTTCTTTCAGAATAATTTTTGATCTATTACATTTTTCATAAATTCTGAATTCCCCAGAACCGCCAAAAGTAACATAAAATCAATCAATTTTCATTCTGAACCAATTTCTATTTCAAAATCTATATTTTCGCCGCTGCAACTTTTCGAAAAATGCCAAGAAAACGAAAAAATCCGAAAAATCAAATTCTCAAAGAGCCAGAAGACCCTATAAACCATGTTGAATCTGTGGATGATCTAGTAACTTTTTTACCTTTTTTGTTTTAAAAATAATATACCGTAAAACCTCTAATAGAACGACACCCGGATTGTCCACTTTGAGTCTATATATCTCATTTCTTTTGAAAGATATCAAAAAGTAGTTAACTAGTACAATGTTTATCAGGATATCAGCAACATTTTATTAGTTAGCCACTTTTTGATATCTTTCACAGAAAATGAGATATATAGGCTCAAAGTGGACGATCCGGGTGTCGTTCTATTAGAGGTTTTACGGTAATTTTCCAGATTTCGTTGCTTCCAATCCCTCCAGCCGAAAGTTTTAGAACGAACGACAATATTGAGAATTCTGAAACTTATGAGTTCACGTATTCTGAATCATCTGAATGTTGGTCAAAGGAAAAGGAGGTTCTTGATCAAAAAAATGGAAAAATGGAATGTGAAAATGAGGAGCTGAAAATTGAAAGATGAGAATTTATCGAGAAAATTGATAATTTGACAGCAGAAAAGAAGATTTATGATCAAAAAATAGTGGAATCTGTGCGAAAATTGGAGCAAATGGAATGTGAAAATGAGGAGTTGAAATCAAAAATGAAGATTACAAACCAAAAAATGGTGGATGTTGTGCAAAAACTGAGGCAAATGGAATGTGACAATGAAGAGTTGAAGTTTGAAAAACAAGAATTCATTGAAAAAATAGAGGATTTGCAATCAGAAATGAAAAATGATGATTTGATGAACAAATATAACTTCTCGAAATCAATACAAGAAACGTTGGAAGGAAGAATTCTGAATCACGAGTATACGGTAACTTGAATTTAAATTGTGCCGTATTTCCTCTAATAGAAGCCAACCAAAACGTCCGATTTGACATAATTTACCTTGATTTCTTTGAGAGATATCAAAAAGTTTTCAACTGATAAAGTATTCATCATAATATCACCAACATTTTATCAGTTGACAAATTTTTGAAATCTTTCACAGAAACCTAGATAATTGAGCTCAAAGTAGACGGTTTGGGCGGGCTTCTATTAGAGGAAATATGGGAATTCCGATTGCAAATTTTTACTCAAAAATTTCAGATTGCTGGACTGCAGGAACAACTCAACTCGAAAAATCTCAAAAAAAACGTACTGATAAAAAATCAGAAGGATGAGCTGGAATATTTGAAAACTGAACTCCGAAAGAAGTCAAAGACATTTTTCCGTTGGCTCCTGACTGGAATATGGAACGGATTCTCAAACTTGTGTGGAAGATGTTGGTCCATTGTTTAATAAATAAATCAAAATCTTATTTTTTTTAGTCCGTGACCATTTCATTCGACAAAATATCTACTGGAAGCTCTTCTACATTGTCCTCATCTTCATTTCACTCGAGAAACTTCTGGAGAAAAACCCGACAATTACGAAAATGATAAGGAGACCGAAAATTGTATGTAGAACGTGCTCAATTTGTGAAGATGTAAAAATACATAACTATTTGTTGAAATGTTTCATTAGCGGTTATTTTTTTCGTAAAAATTATAGAGGTTTTTGAATGTCCCTGAATAAACTTTCAAGCCAATTGTTATAAAAAATGAAACGCTTTTCAGCTTTAGATCCCTGGGGTGTTGGTTATGGTGAATTTGAAGATGATGAACCGGAACCAACACAAGGCTACTATGTTTCTGGTTCGAAGAAAAAGAAATAGGCTGAACTACATCTGTGTGAATAAATGCTTTTATACTTTCTTGAGAATTCAACACAAAAAAAGTTAGACAGATGTTTTTTTCTTCACAAGACTCTCGTCCGATACCCCGGCTTCATCGGATTCCGTTGATCCTAATGATGTGGACTCATCTGCGTCGAACGCTTCTGGACAAACCATTTGACGGATGAACTCGTCGGAGCAAGAGTGGATACAACAGATGGCAGAGATATCAGTTTCCGTGTTAGAGGGCACTGAAAAATTGATAAAAACTTTGGGAAAAAAGAGTTTAGACTTACAAATGGGTCCACAGATTTTTTGGATCTTCTCAGTCAATGGGAATCCACAGAATCCCTTTCTTCTGATTCCGCGAGTCTCCATCATTGCCTCCTCTTTGAATTCGCTGACCCAATGTTTTATCTCACCCAGGGCTACAGATTTTTTGTGTTGGATTTCAGTCATTTTAGTTTTCAGCTCTTCCAAGTGCTTTAGGGATTGCTCAACATCAAAAGGGGCCCCGGCGGTGAGGGAGAAGAAGAAGAGAACGAGGAGAATCGAGAAGAGTTTCATGGTTCTGGAAAATGGGAAGTTTGAGAAAGAAATATATGAATATGCGGCAAAGAAGCTGAGAAGACTCTATTGTCCACTGGATAGTCTGCCAGACTAAAAAAGGGGCGGAGCTTATGCACGGGCGGAGCCTTGGGGTGAGAAGCGAGAACAACAAGATGGAATAGGATTCTGTGACGTCAGCCAAATTGTATATGTATCGGAAGGAGAGCGATACAATTTCTGTCTTTGATATTTTTAAGAGAAAATTAGAGTGTGTGGGGGATCAGAAGAGAAGGATATGACATCACATAGGAAGTTTTGGCTTTTCAAAAATAGCTGGCTTTTAGACTTGACGTTATGAAACATGTCATTTTGCATAACTGATGTGCAAACTACCGTATTCGCTCCAAGAACTCGAAATTTCTAATGTACCATAAAATTGCTCTTGAAGTCCATCTTGGTAAACTGTTTATCATAGTATCACAAATATTCTATCAGTTGACACATTTTCGATATCTTCTACAGAAAAGGAGATATAAGGGCTCGAAGTTGACAGTGTGGACGTCCTTCTATTAGAGGTTTTACGGCTAAAAAACATTCTACGACACTCTGAAATTCCGAACCACAAAAGATAACAAAGCGTTTATCACTATCGTCCTTTTTTGATTTATATATCGGTATTTGTTACCTTTTTAAGGAAAACATTTCAAAAAAAAATGTTTTCCTGTTTCTAGAAATGGGCAAAGAAACAAAAAGACATCTAGGAAAATACAAAAACTAGAATCCTATAAACCGAATCAGAATCTCTTACAAGTTCTATTTTGATCATCTGGCAGTGGACTACTGTACTTCTATACAAATCGAAAAAAAATATTTGTAGTATTTGTTTTCTTCTTGATCAGTTCCAAAACATGAGATATTGAATATTTGAAAAATGGAAATACCACTGATACGAGTACAATAAAATGGGGAATAAATGTATTTCAAAGAGATTTGGAACTTCATTTTCAGAGAGAAATGAATTCAAATATTTTGAAAATTTGGGGGATGAAAAATGAAATTTATCCGAATTCGGATGAAGATTTGGGGGGGGGGCTCTAGAAGGTTCTCGATTTTTTTTCAGAAAAAAAAATGTCGAAAATGAAAAATAGAGAATTTTCAGTTTGGTAAAGTATTATTCCCATATCCTTTCGAAAATGATTCACTGGTTTTCTGACATTTATAGAAGCAACTCTCACGGCTTAAAAAAGTATGAGAAAATATAAAATCTAGAAACTTTTGAGCTCTGAATTTGCCCAGGAGTTTTTGTTATTAAACTGTTCAAGAATCATTTTTCTGATTTTTTTGAAAATCTCGGTCAAAAATTTGAATTTTGGTATTAAAAAAAATTATTTGAAACGTTTGAATTCGTCTTTTTTGTCTGAATCCATTTATTCAGAAATCATAATAAACTACGAGATAACAGAAAGATATAGGAAACAGTAATATTTAGAAATTGACAATTTAGAAGTTGGTGGTTTAATCAATGACCGGTGTAACTACCGCACCTGTAATTGTGGCTGGTTTGAATACCTGAAATAATTCCCTTACTCAAACACTGATTCAAAATTTCCTACCGTAAATTCAAAACTATTTTTGAATCTCAATAATCCCAGTACCGTACTCCGATACTGTGTAGACATTGCCAAACAAATTGGAAAATGGGTCAATGTCGTGAAAGATGTGAGAAATTCCAAAACGTCTGGAGGAAGGAAAATTTCTCTGAAATTTTCTTCAATTTCTTGCTGAAAGTGTAAAGAAGGAGTTACAATTCAAGCGAACGTTCTGGAAAGGTTACGTAGCTAAGATGTAAGATTCCAGTGGGAAGTGAGGAAACAACATATAAAATTGTGTTAAAAATTATCAATTTAGTGGTTGCGGAGTTTCTGAAATTCGGAAGCGAAATCGAAAATGCGAAATTGTGAAACTACTTTTTTTGGTTTGAAGCTGAAAAAATACCGGTTCGGGATTCCTCGATTTTTTGAAACTGGAAAATAAGTAGGAGGGTGAGAATAGGGAATAGTGCAGCTGGGATGATCTGAACCAACAACATTAAATATCAGACAGCTCACAATTCGCTCACTTTGCTGAAAATCGAATCCAATGCTATACGAATTTTCAGATAATAAAAATTGTTCCATTCTGCTAGTGTTGATGGTACCATAAAATGCACTGTACTAGATGTTTCGTTTGAAAGAAGCTCATGACATTCCCATTCGACATCTTCATGAGCTACTTGTGTTTCGAGGAAATGTGCAAGGGAAATAACGGAACTGATTAAGACTGCAATAAAACAAATTCTCCATCCGAAAGAAGCAGTAGTAGCGGTGCGAGATCTGAAACCAGTTCGTAACAATTGATCTGGGTTATCTGAGATGGTACTAAGCCGAATCTTACTTCATCGGAAACTTGAGCGCAAACGTTCTGATGGAGGCCATTGCAAGACCTAAAAAAGCGTCACAGCGCCTGACATCATCTTGAATAGATAATGAAATCCAAAGGTATACGACGAAGGTGTATGAATCCGGACGTATGCTAAAAAATTCACGCGATTGTGTGCTACAAAACTTCCCATACTTGAAGCGGGCCCAGAACGAATTTTGCGCCGGACCCGCTTTTCAAGCATGAGGTTACCGACGGCTTTCTCTATCTTTCTGAACCGACTCCTTCTGAATTTCAGAATCAAAATTGGCTGTCAGTGTGCGATTCCATAGTGCGGTCAATATCTTTAGGACCCTCCTCGGTTTTGGCGGTTCCAGCAGATCGGGAACAGATATCGAAATTCTGAGAACGTCATTCGATGATAAATAGAAACTCTAAAGAACAAATTTTCATGGTTCTACCACTTTCCGTACAAGAGTACCACCAAAAAGACCTATTTCTCAATATCTTTGGGACCCCTAGAAATTTTGAAATCTTGATCATTTTTTGTTGAATTTTCGCTTTTAAACTGAAAATAATTGTCAGTTTCGTACTTTTTCAATACATTTTTATAAGTATCTCGAAGAGTTTTCATAATCTGTCAACTTTCCAAATTATCATTTTTTCCATTTTCATTTCCAAATTTTCGGTTATTTTTTGTGAAAGTGATCCAATTTGTCAAAAAATTCAAGCTCGTCAAACCACAATTCATACAGATACAGATTTTGGAAAAACGGATAAGGATTACTGTAGATTTTCGATTTCTGTGTGATGTATATGGTGAGAACAAACTATGAAAAAGTAACATTCGTACTGGAACCAATTTTGTCTGAAATTTTTGAATTGTCTGAAAGTATTATAGTTGTTTTGTAATTCAAAATTTTCGTACTTAAAAGTAATCAAGAGATTAGACTTGAGAAAATTGTACAATACGTTTTACTTGATATTGGAATTTTGAGAATGTATGAATTATTAATTTCAGAAATTTGATTTTTTAAGATTCTGAATATCTGGAATTCCGGAAAACCGAAAATTTAAAAATCTGAAAAATGGGAAAGCCTAAAAAATCCAAAATTTCAAAATTTGGAAATTTGAATTTTTGAAATTCTGAAACTCTGAAAACTATTCTCGTTAACTCCCCTTTAATATTCAGAAGAAATCTTCAAATCCCCAAACACTGCCGTCAGATTGTCCGTGCTCATATAGCTTGTTTACAATATTTTCAGTCTGCATAATCTGAAAATAACTGCCCTGCCACACCTTGGAAATCCTCGTCAACGTCTGCTGAATCTTTTTGGTTTTTTTGATTCTTATTGAAAGTTTCATTAAGAATCTGAAACTTCTCTTTTGAAATATTTAATTCAAATTCCAAAATGACAAAACTGAAAATTTTTATATGACGAGTTGAAATTTTGACATTTTCGACATTCGAGTCTGTAGAATTGTTTGAAAATAAGTTGAAATTATGTTCTGAACATCTTTAAAGTACATCATAATTTTGAAAATAGTATATTTTGTTTTTGAAACTGAACTTGAAGTTTTTGACATCAAACAATCGTAAATTAGGAACTGTCCAGAAGAAACAATCAAGCTATTTTCCTGAATTTTAATTTCTAGACATTGGAGGAAATTTTCCACCTACTCATCTCGGAAACAACATCAATTAAACCAACTATACAACTACAAAGAAGTTATTATCTCTAAAAATATAGAAGACGTATTCATTACGTACAACTCTTTTGTTTGTTGTATTTAGTTACAAATGATGAATGCCTATGCTTTTTGACTTATTCTTGGGTTCAAACATTTAAAAAAATGTATGTGAGAACTGTTTCAAAAAAAAGAGTTCCAAATGTTCAAAATTCTTGAGCACAACCTTGAATTATACCTTTTATGTTTCAAATATTCTAAGTTCTGAAAACTTTGCTCTTCCCCTTTGCTTCTCTAACATTTGGAAATGGAAGAATAATTTTGGAAATCACAGATTTAGATTTCCAAAATTATAACATCAAACATTCTCATCTAACGCAGAACTCCGAGGTCAATTTTTTGGCAGAGATTAGAATCTTATCAGATCTTCCCCCCCCCCCGCTATATAAGCTTGGATCACATAACAACAAATTAATTCAAATTCAAGAATTCCGCGGATCATGAAGTCTCTTCTGATCCTCCTCCTCCTGGTCCCCACCACCTTCTGCCTTTCAAATGTCTTCTCTCGAGGATCCTGCTTCCAGCACATCAATGCAGCTAGAAGTGTCTACGCGGATCGATTCCAACTAGCCAACATGAATGAGTTGGTTTACAACAAAAAGTTGGAAAAGAAAGTTCTGGAACAACTCTCCTACTCTGGTCCATGCCCACAACCATCAATCATTTCTCAAAACCATCTGGATGTCTATTTGAATGTCAAAGAACACGATTTGATTGTTTAGTTGTTGTCGGCCACTGGAAGTACTCAAATGGCTTGTGTTCGGAGCAAGTGTGGAGATGAGGATGTTATCAGTATTGTGACTGATGTTCAGTGAGTTACAGTGATCCTTGAAAAGCAAAAGAAATTATTTTCAGTGACTCTTCTCCAATTTCTGGACCACCTGGCAGCGAGTGTTCTCCGGATAGAAAAGCAAATGGAAAAGGGTTGTGTACTCAAGAGTATTCTAGCGGTGGATATGCTCGAAAAGGTATTTTCGATGACATTGTCAAATATGACCCACCAATTGTTTGGAATGTGCCTGAGAAAGTGAAATGGCCAGTGGAGGAGTCAGAAGAGGACGCGGTTCCAAAAGGTCCAATCTCAATCGTTAACAGGGAAACTCTCGAACAATTTTTAGAAGTACTGAAAAAAATTCCCACTGATACATCTCATCCAGTTCGTATATGGGAGGATGAAATAGACCACTGATAGATTTGAACTTTATTTCTCGAACTTCTCAATAAATTCTTGAGTTTTTAAAAATTCTCTTCTACATATATGTGAATCATTATGAATTTCTCTGTTCTTCGTGTTTCTAGAAACTCGCGTTCAACTTATTTTCAAAATTCACACTACTTGTACTTGTCTAATCAACCACAAAAAGTCTTTGCATTTCTATCGATCGTGTATTGATAAATTTTGAGGTTGGAGGAAGGTTTGCTGTAGTAGTTAAGGAAGAAAAATGAGTTCCGCGGGTTCGGTACATCAACCAGAAGAAGGATAAGAGCGCTTTGGTCTGGAACAAAACGGAATTTTGCAAAAAAAGAGAGATATGGATTTACTTAGGGCGAAGAACCGAGAATTTCTGGAAACAAAGGGAACAAACCACTCAAAATTCCAGTGATTTTTCAGATGATTTTCTTTTTTTTCTCTCCTTCATTTTTTCTCGTTCATTTTTTGTTATTCTGTTAGTTATTTTTTTGCTCTGCTCAGCCGTCTCCATCTGTTATTTTTGCACATTATTTATTTTCTACCGAGACATTGTCTGATTTTCATTCCCGTTTTTGCTGGAAATTTCAATTCTATAAACGATAATTTATACGCGATCGCATCCCCACACCAGGGGGCATTTCCCGTATTTTTTCACGATTAACCACGATTACTGTACTCTGACAAAAACCACTAGACTCTGGGGAGAACTCGTACCAACGACGGTTGTTTCAAATTCATCCCTGTTAACCACTAGGCTAATCGGGAGCACGTTAGATGAAGTTTCGATGGTTATTATATACTTCACGTTTTCAAAAAAAATAACTTTTTCTTTTTTTTTCGGAATTTCTGATTGTAAATTCAAATGATTCTTGGGGTAGTTTTTGGAGTTTCCGAAACTGGAAAAACATCACCAAGTGTTCAGAAAAAAGAAGGAGAAATTGTTTTTCCTGAATAGGCATTTCATAGGGATTTTTTAATACTTTTAAAGGCTAGTTTGAACATTAAAAAAATTAATGGTCTAATTTGACTTTCAGATATCTTTGTTTTTAGGTATACATTAATTTAGGGTTCTAAGCTTACTTTTTTTAAGGACTGAGCCTACTTTCATTTCCGTGAAACCTGTACTAGAAGAACCGGCCCTTCTATTGTTCCAAGGTGCCTCCAGAGGGCCCTTCTACTACAAGGACCCTTCAATTAGAGGGGCCCTTCTGTTTTTCTGGCTAGTTTTTTCCGAAATTTTGCAGTAAAAAATCGACGAAGTTTCGTTCAAAATTCATGAAAATCTGCCAATTTCACCAAAATTTAGCAAGATTTTCATCGAAAAATAGAATTTCAACAAATTTCTATTGACTTGTGGAGTTCGTGGAATATTTTCCATTGAAAAGTTACGGAAATTTTTATTCCAAAACACATTGAAGAGGGGTCATTTTTCACAGAGGGCCCTTCTATTAGAGGGACCCTTCTATTAAAGGGGTTCTTCTAATACAGGTTTTACGGAATGTTTTTTTTAAGTCTGATTTTTAAGTGTGGGCGCCGTAAGCCTGCTTTTTAAAGGCTAAGACTACACTTTAGAAGCTGAAAATAATTTTAATGGCTGATTTTACTTTTAGGGGCCTTGATTTTAGTATATCCCGATTTAAGTTGCTATTTTTTTTGTATTTCATACTGATTCGACTTTTGGGGTACTTTCTCTCTATCTTTTGAGAGGAATAAATTCACTATCATCATGCGAATACTGTGGATCCACGTTTCTCATTTTTTATTGGCTCTTATTTCTTTGAAATGTCACGGAAAAAACTGTGTGAAACAATTTTCTAAAAAAGCTCAGAGTAAAAAGTGCCCCCTGGTGTTTAGATACGATTAGGTATAATTTATCAATTTTTCTTTGAAATTTTTGCATATTTCTTCGGCTAATTGCCTAGCGAAAAAGCTGAAACTTAGAAAAGTTTTAAAGGTGGGGGACATGAAAAAATATCTTCTCGAAATTCCGTTCAAAGATGTCCCTCGAGGAGTTGAACTTGTGAGGGCGATGATTGAGGGTGCGGCGCCGCTACCGACTGAGCCACGCGGGTGAATAGAAAGCGCACGCCCGATTGCATACATAAAGGCGAGGACGACAGCTGTACGCAGAGTGACATTAAGCGTTGTACACCCTCACGGTAGAATGCATACTCTGGCCCCAAAAATCCCCCGTAAAATCTCCCGTCCCCCCCCCCTTTAAAAGTTCATAGAATAGAAGTGAAAACTGATTCTCAAATTTTCGTGATTCTCAAATATAGGAACTTTTGTGAGTTGTATAGAAAAATACAAGTGATGTTGATTTTTTGAATGAACGGAACGGGAACTACTAGAACCTCGAAGAACAGAGATATTGCTAATGTTTCTCATAAGGTGTTGTTCCAATTTAAAATTGAAGCATTTTTTGAGAAATTCCAGTCAGTTCAAAGCCAAAATCATCAGTAGGACATTATATCATCATCCCCATCTGGATATTTGCCGAATGATATCTAAATTTAAGCGTTTTAGTTTTAAGAATTACATCAAAATTATCTTAACCGTCAATTTGGGAGGGTGAAAGAAGTGGAGGACCCTCAGTTATTCCAAACTTTTCCTTTCCCTTTTGAATTGACTCCCATATAAAATCGAACTCATTTTGTCGAGAACAAAGCCCTAATCCATATCGTTTATATACTCTTCTATCCGGAGAACATTTGGTGCCAGGTGGGCCATGAATTGGAGAAGAGTCACTGAGAATAAATTTCTTTTGCTTTTCAAGGATCACTGTAACTCACTGAACTTCAAGGATCACTGTAACTCACAATTTTGACAATGTCATCGAAAATACCTTTTCGAGCATATCCACCGCTAGAATACTCTTGAGTACACAACCCTTTTCCATTTGCTTTTCTATCCGGAAATTGGAGAAGAGTCACTGAAAATAAATTTCTTTTGCTTTTCAAGGATCACTGTAACTCACTGAACATCAGTCACAATACTGATAACATCCTCATCTCCACACTTGCTCCGAACACAAGCCATTTGAGTACTTCCAGTGGCCGACAACAACTCAACCATCAAATCGTGTCCTTTGACATTCAAATAGACATCCAGATGGTTTTGAGAAAGGATTATGGCTGTGGACATGGACCAGAGTAGGAGAGTTGTTCCAGAACTTTCTTTTCCAACTTTTTGTTGTAAACCAACGCATTCATGTTGGCCAGTTGGAGTTGATCAGCGAAGACACTTCGAGATGCATTGATATGCTTGAGACAGGATTCTCGGGAGAAGACCTCGCCATTCAGAAGACAGCAAATTGTTTGGACCAGGGAAAAGAGGATGAGAAGAGACTTCTCAAATTTGAATTGATTTTTTGTGGTGTGGTTCAAGTTTATATAGAAAAGAAAGACCTGATAAGATTCTAATCGCTGTTAAAAATTGACCTCGGAGCTTTTTTTTTTTGAATTCATCTTTTTTCCCCCAGCTTCCATTATTTCGATTTGATACAAAGTGCATTCCTTGACCCTCAAAATTCCACCGAGTTTCATCTCAAATATCCATTTTCGAAGTCAATCTTTGATGTTGTAATTTTAGAAACCCAAGTCTGTAATTTCCACAATTATTCTGACATTTTCAAATGGTAGTGCTGACAAAGTTCTCAGAATTTAGAACAATTAAAACATGAAATGTATATTTCAAAGTTGTGCTCAATTTCTATGAAACTCACTTTGCGACACAAGTCTTTTGAACTCCTGGAACACTTTTTCAAAACATGCGCACAATTATTTTTTACGAATGTTTGAACTTAAGAAGAAGTCCAAAATCATAGACATTCATCATTTGTAACAGAATACAACAAACAAAAGAGTTGTACGTAATGAATGTTATATTTTTAGAGATAAGAACTTCTTTGTAGTTGTATAGTTGATGAGTATATTGTATTTTACGACAAACTACCCACTAAATGCCTCGTTTGTCGTAAAATATCGTGCTTCGTACGCAAAAATTCGTGTTTTGATGCGCAAAAGCACGAAATCGACCGATCGGTCAGCTCGGTTGGCTGTCGGTCGGCTGGGTCGATGGTCGGTCCGCGGTCGGCGATTATCGACCGACCGAAATGGAAGCCTTAGATGAGTAGGTTGAAAACTTCCAGGAAATAGGAAATTCAAAAAAGTTCATTTGGTCCTTCGAATAACATTCCATTTATAAAACTTTTTCTTTGAAAATTTCTCTTTCTTTCAGTTCCAAATTTATCACTATTTGATGTCAAAAATTTCAAGTTCAGTTTCAAAATAGAAAATATTCAATTTTCAAAATAATGGTGTACTTTACAGGTGTTCAGAACATAATTCCAACTTATTTTCAAACAATTCTACTGACTCAAAAGTCGAAAATATCAAAGTTTCCTAAGCAAAAATTTCAGACTTGTCATTTTGGAATTTGAGTTAAATATTTCAAAAGAGAAGTTTCAGAATCTTAATGAAGCTTTCAATAATTAAACATGCAAAAATGTTTAGTAGACGTTGACGAGGATTTCCAAGGTGTGGCAGGGAAGTTATTTTCAGATTATTCAGACTGAAAATGTTGTAAACAAAAGAAGATTTGAGCTCGGACAATCTGACGGCAGTGTTTCGGGATTTGAAAATCTCTTCAGAATATTATGAACAAGTTAAAACGAATAGTTTTCAGAATTTCGAAGTTTCAGATTTTCAGGTGTTCAGATTTTTAGATTTTCAAATTTTCAGATTTCCGGATTTTCAGATTCCCAGATTTCTAACTTTTCAGGCTTTTCCATTTTCGAGCTTTACGAATTTCAGTTTTTTAAATTTTCCGATATATGGAATCTTAAAAGGTCAAACTTCTAAAACTAGTAATTCATACATTCTCAAAATTCCGATAACAAATAGAACGTATTTTACAATTTCGTCTAGTCTAATCCCTCGATTACTTTTAAGTACGAAAGTTTTGAATTTCAAAGTAACTATAATACTTTCAGACAATTCAAGAATTTCAGACAAACTGGTTCCAGTGGAACGAAGGTTATTTTTTCATAGTTTGATCTCACTATACTTCACACGGGAAGCAAAAAATCTACCGTAATCCTTGTCCAAAATATGCATCTGCATCTCATTGAATTGTCTTCAAAACTATATTTTCCGTAGTTATACTATGCCATTTCCCCATTTTAAGCTGTTTAGATCAAGAAGACTAAGATGTGCACCAAAAAAAATAGATCCAGAAGAAATTAATGCTATAGGAAAATACAAATTTTACAAAGCTTCAGACTGCTCGTAGACATTCATATTAGAATGTGATCAAGAAGAATGATATGGATGGAAATAGGCAATTCACTCAAAAAAAGATTCTAATTACGTTTGAACATAGAGTTACCAAGAAGACAATTAACAGGGTCATCAAAATCAAAAATAACGCTGATGATGTTAGGTTCAAAAATTCAGATCAAGAAAACAGGCTCTAAAAAGTGTGGGAGTCGAAAAGTATATAGAATTTTTTTCAAAACTCTGATAATTCTGGAATGATGGAAAAAAAGCGTGCAAGAACTGAAAGGGTGAGAATCGGTGAGAGAACTTAATTGCCCGCGGTATGTCCGGGGTGTCAGGTTCCTGTGATAAAATAGAAGAAAATCAACAAGAAATGTAACAAAATCGGTTTATTATGAACAAGTTAGAAAGAAACAACAAATAAAAGCTTAGAATTCAAGCAAACTTACTTGAAATCTTTAAAAGAGTCTCTCAAAAACTACGAGCCAAATCCAAGCTCGCAATCACTCAAAACTAAAATTAAACTGTGCGCGCGCCGAGCGGGATAGCGGAGTGTCGTTGCGTGGTTAGAGGGAATCTTTAGAAGGAGTTGGAGGGTAGATGCACCAGGCAACTACTTTGTTGAAAGTTCAGAAATCTTGAAGGCTGGAAGGATTCTAAAATTTATAGCGGGAAATATAAAACAGAATGTACCTCTAATACAGTTGCACCCTTACAGCAAATTTCCCTCGGTTTCTGTGAAAGACATTGAAAAATACGGCCATCTTCTGGAAATAGTCATCTACTGTAAATGCCCCCGGGCACTTTGAGCTCAATTATCTCGGTTCTTGTAAAAGATATCAAAAAGTTCAGTTGGCGGATGTTTTATATCTCTCACAGGAACCGAAAAATATTAACTGAAAATAGGTGTTTTACTGTAACTGCGAAAATTAGCTTGGAATATTTCAGATACTCAAACCTCCTAAGAATTTGATTTTTGCAGATTATCTTCTTTTTCAGATACTCAGCTTCACTAAATTGATGTTGAAAATATAGCTTGACAACCTTCAGAATTCATTTGTGACATATTTCATTTCTATCCTTTGTTCGTTTTCAGAAATATTTTCAGCTTATACACTTCTGCTATTCCTTCTCTTCCCTGACGTCTTCATCTTCCCTTTTTCCAGTTCTTCCGGCGGACGTCTTCCGTTCTTTGCCCTTCTAGATATAGAGGCGGAGCTTAGTTATCTGGCTCCACCCTTTATACCTGGAATTCTCGGCGCCGCCTAACTCCAAAAGTTCATTTAAAAGGAGCTGAAACTTAGTGGAAGACATTCAAAACCTCATCTGCTTCCCCCGAGAATAATGAGCAACTCCTGGAGCTCCTCTTTTCTCTAGATTTTAGCAATACGAGCTTCTTGGATTTGCCTATAACATCCATCTCCATTTTCAACTATCTATTACCAGTTCTCAGCCTTTCTAAACCATTTCGAAGTATCCAAAAACTACAGTAACCTCCAAAAGATTATCTGCTACCATTTTCTCCTCTGCTAATTTCTTTTAATTTCCCAACTGCTTCTGAATCCTTATATTTTTTCAGCCATGCAATTCTCGAAGATCTTCCTCTTCTTCTTTGTTTTCGTCGTCGTGTCTTCGTTCGCCCTCAAGGCCTCCTCGTTCACCTTGGACCAGGCCAAATCAGATCTCAAGGTCATCGAACACGATGTCGAGGAAATGGAGGAAAAGGAAGCTAAGATCTACGCTGAGATGTTCGAAGAGATCTTTGTTCTCAAGCAATACGCCAGAAACCTGAGGGGAAGAAGAGGGGTAAAATGTGGCTCAAAAGTTCTCGAAAAAGTGATTCAAATATGCGGAGACTTCAGTGAGTTTCAGCGACACTTTTCTTTTCTGTATAGAAATTTATTTCAGGTTCTAACACAGGACGTGACATTGCCACCCACTGTTGTTCCCATGTCTGCACGGATGAGTATTACAAGAAAAACGTCTGCCCACAGAAGTGAGATTAGATGTTATCCATCCGAACCAGAAAAGTTCCCCCGATTACAAATGTTAACCCTTTTGAATCCCTGCCCCCCCCCCCCACACCCAATAATTCCTCACATGTTGTATTCAATCTCCCCTGATCCCCGGTCTCATTGTCCAACTCAATCTCCAGTCTTTCGTTTTCCCAGTTCATTTTCCTCTTGATTCCATACAAATTTACTTCATGTACTTTTTGTGTAACCTGTTAAAATTCAACTTGAAATTCAATTTCAGTCAATAAACCTATTTATTTGTCGTTCTTCGATTAGATCTTTACAGAGTCTATCCTACAGTAGTCCTTCGGAAGTCTTCGTTGAGTTTATCCTCGTTCCGTAGACTGCTGACAGTGAAATCATTTGAAATCGTGTCTTACTATTGTTGTGTCCTCAATCCAATCAGATTTCCGGAGTGTTTGGGCAGATTTCCAGAAATTTGGAGGTTCAAAAAAAAATTCTAAATTTGCCTTTTTTCACACTTTTTGAAGCCTGATCCATTTCTTCGAACCCCAAATCATCGAAAAATCAGTTTTTAATTCAAATTTGATTGTGAGGATCCATTTGGATTTCATTACATCTCGGTAACCCAGAAAACATAATTAGTGCCTTTTTGAGGAAAATAACAGTTTCAGCTATTTCCAGACATATCATTTTTCTTGATCACATTCTATATGTATACTAATGTATACGAGCAGTCTGAAGTTTTGTAGAATTTGTATATTTCTATAACAACAATTTCTTCTGGATCTATCTTTGCACGTCTTAGTCTTCCTGATCTCAAAGATAAACAGATTGAAAATGGGAAATAGCATAGTATAACTACAGAAAATATAGTATTGAACACAATTCAATTCGGATACAGATCCAGATTTTGAATAAGGATACCTGTAGATTTTTCGCTTTATGTGTGAAGTATGGAGAGAACAAACTATAAACCAGTTTGTCTGAAATTCTTGAAATTGTCTGAAAGTATTATAGTTAGTACGAAATTCAAAACTTTCGTACTTGAAAGTAATCAACAGATTATACTTTAAAAAATTGTACAATACGTTTTTCTTGTTTTTCAAATTTTGAGAATGCATAAATTACTTGTTTTAGAAGTTTGACCTTTTGAGATTCTGAAAATCTTACATTACGAAAATCTGAAAATTATGAAAGTTAGAAAATGGATAAAGGAATATTTTCAATACGAGGTTTATCTAGAAAAAATAAAATCACACCTCTAATAGAAGGGCCCCCGTAATAGAAGGGCCCCTGCGAAGAAGGATGTCCTTCAAAATAAGTCTTGAAGTAAATAAATTATGTATGTTTTGAAGGTGAAATATTCCGGGAGTTCCTCAATTTAATATAAATTTGTTGAAAAACTTTTTGCAATGAAAAATTGCTCAATTTCGGTGGATTTGACAGATTTTTATGAATTTTGAGCGAAAATAATAGAAGGTCCCTCCGGAGGTACCTCGAAACACTAGAAGGACCGGCCCTCCTAATACAGGTTTCACAGTAAATATTGTTCGCAACATTCTGAAGATTCCAAAACAAAAGTCCACAGAGCTGTTCTCTATTTGTTATCTGTGAAAACACACTATTCACCCAGCCGTATCTATTTTCTCAACCCAAACACACAAGACCCTGCGCCTCCTATCTCTACAGTTTGTTGTGGCTACATTGTTCCTATTCTTCTTTCCTACCCTCGTTATCATCAATCTATGTTCTCTCGTTCTTGTTATCAGTAGTTAACCTACAACTCCTCTTTCATTCATTGTATTCCACATGTATTCACTCCATTTGGCTCTAATTTGATTGCTCGAGCCTCGAAATAATTTTTCTGCTTACTTCTTTATAATCTAAACTTTAATAACCTTTTGAGACTATTGCTGACTTTATTTTCCGAATTTTGCCAACAATGCTTTTCGAAAACACCTTCCACAGTATCATTCATCAGAGGTAATAAAATTTGAACTTCTCACTTATTTATTTAAAAAATAGAATTGTATATGAAACAGTGAATGGCAACGTCTAGCTGATATGTAGGACACTCCGTTAGCAGTCAAAAAATTTGAAAATTACTTTTTTCCTGAAAATCCGGAAGATTGCTCAGTGCTCAAATGTTATACTATATTACCTTTGGGAAATGGCTAACAACGATATCGAAACCGACCTGCTCGAAAAACCCCGAAAGGAGACGAAACAATACGTCGTAGCAGCGATGGTAGAAATCATTCAAATCGAGTAAGATATCGAGCAAAGAATGCATCCCAACCATTTGGAAATGGTCGATCTGGTATGAGTGGGGAGACAAGAATTGAACGAGATACTCACTACGTTGAAGGAAGAACGAGAAGAGCGAAATGAGTTGAAAGAAACGGTCAGGACACTTCCGTCCTCCACTTTTATCCCCAATTCTTTATTTCTATCATTTTTTTCTGTTACTTGTTATCTTTTATAATTTGTTGGCTCTTTATTATATATGAAAGGTTTAATAACCCAAGTTTGAGATTGTCATCCACACGAGTAAAAAGCATTCTACCACACACCTGCTGGACCTGCCCCTAAGGACAAGGACAGCAACACCCAGAACACCATTTCAGTTTAAATATTCACTGCAATCTATCTCAATTGGGGAGTAAATTTCCTTTAACAAGAATTGATCCTTCGAAAATAAACTTTTATTTTTTAAGATCCAGAGATTTTTTCAATAGTTCAACAAGAATTTCATAATCCATTTCATCGGAATTTTCTGGAATCACTGAACGAATATCTTCTCTTGATTTCAATTGATCCATACATGATTTCTGAAAAATAGAAGATACATGTTTTCAAAATTAGAATTAGCATAATACCTGCCAAGTTTGAGCTCAATTATCTCGATTCCTGTAGAAGATTTAAAAAATGTGCCAATTAATGAAATGTTTGTGATAATAGGATCAACAATTTATCAGTTGACAACTTTACATAACTTTGATAGGAATCGAGATAATAGAACTCAAAGTTAAAAGTTCAAAACTCACTTTCAACTCTTCCAATCTGAATTTTCCAGCCATTTTTAACTTCAGTTTTAGATCCTCATGCTTCATCAGGAACTTTTTACACTTTTTGTCAACTACTGGTGTATCGTACATATCAGCGATTGTCAAAATTCCTTCGACTGTTTCTTCTGGAATTTCTTAATTTAAAGGATAAGATAAGTACAGTAACCCACCATCTATTCCAGGTTCACCATAGAGTACCTCCAGGTAGTATTGTAAATATTGAGGATTGAGATCTTTCAATTCGATTTCTGTTTTACCAGATTCTTCAAATTGTCCCAAAAAGAGAGCAGCAAAATAGGGAGACTGAGAGGAGAGGAACTGAAACAAATCTTGCTGATTATTTTCCTTGTGAAGCTAACTTACCAATTTCGAAACATAGAATTTTGTGTCCTTCACTTTCAATATTACATCACTCTCACTCAGAAAACTGCTTCACATCCTCTCCAAAGCTTCTCAATTTCTCTGGTCGAAATCCAGTCATTTTTATGATTTTCACATCAATTTCCACTTCTAATTTCCCATCATTCAAATATTGATTTTCCAAAGTTTGCCATTCAATAAACTTATGCCATCCCCAGTCAGCAGATGTATTGAACACTCTACTGCTGGATTTCGAACAAATTGTTTCCTTATTTTTTGAGATCATTTTCTGGATACGGTCAAGGTGAATTTCTTGATTTTGATGAACATCTGCATATGTATACATTCCTAGATGTTGATCTCGCCTTTGTATTTTTATTTGCCTAAAATTATATCCAACTGGGATTGAAAAAATAAATAAAACTCACCATCTCACACCAAAATGTTCTTCTACAGGACTACAATAAAATCGCATATCTGTTAGTTTCCCAACATCATTGAATTCATATTTCAGGGTGAATTCTCTTCCAACCATCGAATCTGAAAAATGAAGAAACAGTTATCGAGCAAGAAGTTGAGTCTTAAAGAGGTCTTAAAGGAGATTTTTCGTAGTTTTTTTGTAGCTAGAGTATGCATTCTACCGTCACGGTGTACAACGCTTAATGTCACTCTGCGTACATCTGTCGTCCTCGCCTTTATGTATGCAATCGGGCGTGCGCTTTCTCTCTGCCCGCGTGGCTCAGTCGGTAGCGGCGCCGCACCCTCAATCATCGCCCTCACAAGTTCAACTCCTCGAGGGGCATCTTTGAACGGAATTTCGAGAACATTATTTTTTTCATGTCCCCCACCTTTAAGCACAATAAAATGATAGTTGCTGAAGAACAATTTTTTTCTCTGAAGAAATGAGCTTTTAGCTGCAAATCTTGAAAAAATCGAGAAAAAAAAACAAAGTCCGTAGTAGCAAGTTCTTCAATAACCTTAAATATAGAGTTAGACTTAGCAATAAGAAAGGAAGATTTCCTCATTAAAACAACAAAACCTACCATTATGAGCAATTTTGAACTCTGTAAAAAAAGAGATTGTGTAAACAGAAAAAAGGTAAATAGGAAATACAAAGGAGTATCAAAAAAATGTTTCGACTTTATCTTTTTTTTTCGAAATTTCTCTATTTTTACTCAAATTTATCTCAATAAAAATTTCAAAGATATAAAAATTCTGAAAACCTAAAAATCTACAAATCTAAAAATCTGAAAGTTTCAACACAATCTTGGAAATATCTTCCTACACCTATCCCACTAATCTGGACCGTTCCTCACCTCTTCATTTGGCAATTCCACGTTCTACAGTATCCCATGGGTCGGGCATTGGATGAAAAATTGGCATATACATTTGAAAAAAGCGGTGACTTGGAGTTTTAAAAAAATAGTGTTTTGAGCCGTTAAATTCTATTACACATGTTGAATTTCCCAAAACAGTTCATTTTCGTATTTTTCAAATTTTTCCAGTATTTTTTTCCGAAGTTTTTAGGTTTCCCTAGTTTATGAATATATATCGTTCTTTAATCCAGGGCTGTTCCAGTTTAAGAAAAAAGTAATCTTAGAGACTAGGCTTCAATTTTTCCTTTTTCAGAGTTCCACTTTTCCAAATCCGGATTCCAGGACACACACATTTTCTTAAACAGTTATATTGGTCCCAAATTCTCCGATTGACGTCTTTGATGATTAACTTTATTGTTTCAAAGTCTTTCTAGAACCTTCAGTGACGCATTCTTAGTGATATCTTTATTTTTGACAACATTTTAGTGATAATTTTTCAATTATCGTCACTAAATCATGTGAATTTCTTCGCACTATGTATTCCTCATTGACTTAAAGGTGGGGGGACATGAAAAAAATAATTTTCTCGAAATTCCGTTCAAAGATGCCCCTCGAGGAGTTGAACTTGTGAAGGCGATGATTGAGTGTGCGGCGCCGCTACCGACTGAGCCACGCGGGCAAAGAAAAAGCGCACGCCCGTTTGCATACATAAAGGCAAGGACGACAGCTGTACGCAGAGTGACATTAAGCGTTGTACACCGTCACGATAGAATGCATACTCTAGCTACAAAAAAACTACGAAAAATCTCCTGTCCCCCCACCTTTAACCCATTTTCCAATTTGTTTGGCAATGTCTTCACAGTATCGTAGTACGGTATTGGGATTTTTCAAATCTAAGGATAGTTCAGGAACTACGGTAGGAAATTATGAATGGAAGGTTGAAAATAAGGAAGATTTTAGGTATTGAAACCAAACACAATCATTGGAAATGCAATTTGAACGACAATGAAGTTGATAATGTGACTAAATTTCTTTGCTGTTTTACTTTTCAGTTCTACAATGACCTAACTTTTATTCCGCTGAATGAATTCTCAAACTTAAATCCTCGGAATGAAAGACAATACGAAGAAATGTACCCGACTAGACCATTATTTGTCCCTCCATGGATTTTTTTTCCGGATAATTTCGAGGCCTGAGAATCTGAAAAAAATACAGAGTGCTCATTTTCTGAATAATGAGAAACTAAAAGGGCACATCAAGATGAACAGAAGGTTTTCTATTGTAAGTATTCAACAGATGGAGCCTGATAAAAATTTATAGGAATCCAATTGAAAAATTGTGAAAAATAATCGAAGTACACTTACCGTAAACACCCTAATAGAACGCGAACCGGACTTTGAGCATATATATCTCGGTTCTTTCGAAAGATATCAAAAAAGTTGCCAACTATTAAAATGTATATCATGATATCAGCAACATTTTAGCAATTACCTATTTTTCGATATCTCCCACAGAAATGTGACGGTTCGGGTGGCGTTCTATTAGAGTGTTTACGGTATGTTGACAAAATTGTTAAGAGAAAAAAAAACAAAACTTTTTATTGTAAACAATATTTTGATTAGAAGCTTTAAAAAAACCGAAGAACACAAAAAATATCATATTATCAAACTCATTATCACTCAAACTGCATTCCCACTAATTGTCATTGGTTTCCATACCTGAAATCTTCCACATTTTCAACCCCCTGTTCAAAATTGTCTACCGTAGTTCCAGAACTATCCTTAGACCTGAAAAATCCCAATACCGTACTCCGATACTGTGTAGACACTGCCAAACAAATTGGAAAATGGGTCAAGGTGATGAAAATTGTCAGAAAATCAAAAACTAATAGGAAATCGAAACATCCTCTGGAGATTTCTTGCATTTTTGAGCCCCAAAAGAACACTTACACATCAAGACACCATAATGGAAAGAAGGAGTAGATGAGGTAGAAAATTCCCGCGGGAAATGAGGAAATCACATAGGCAATCGTGTTGAAAATTACAAATTTAGTGGTTGCAGAGTTTCTGGAATGTGAGAGGGAATTTGAAAAATAATAATTTGTAGAGGTACTTGTTCTGGTTAGAATTTGAAAACATTTGATTTCGGGATTTCGCGATTTTCCGGATCTCAACAATAAGAAAAATGGTAAGAATAGGGAACATAATAGGTGGAATGATCTAAATCAATCAATCTTGAAATTCCAACAGCTAAAGGTAATTTACCTTACTGAAAACCGCATTCATTACCATATAAATCTTGGAATACAAGAATCCATTCCACTCGAATAGTGTTGACGGTACCATAATGTACAAATCAAAAGATGTTTTATTTGGATTCGATTCCTCGTAACATTCCCATTCAATGTTACCAACATAAGCTATATCTGTTCCGAGGAAACGTGCGAATGAGATAATGGAACTAAAAAGGAATGCAATAAGACAATTTTTCCAACCAAAAGAGACACTTGTAGCGGTACGAGATCTGAAACAAGTGCAGTACAATCGAGTGAACCTGTTTGGGACGATACTAAGAGATAGAGCTCACTTACCTCATCGGAAACTTGAGCACAAATGTTCTAATGGAAGCCATTGCTAGACCTAAAAAAGGGTCACATCGTCTGACATCATCTTGAAGGGAAAAGAAAATCCAATCGAAGAAAACGTAGGCGTACGAATCAGGGAGTATGCTGGAAGATTCAAATGCATGGATGATCTGCTAAAAGAGTTCAATATTCTAAACCCTACCATAGCTTAGTATTATCGTATGCCCTTTTCATCCAATCTATAATAGGCCAAACCATGTATACCAAATTGGAAATCGCAATTCCTAACAATAGAATATTTGTTGAAGATGTTCTCATTGATTTCTGAGCCAGTACCACCAAATGAATGGAATTCACTAAAAATGAAACTGCTGATAAGTGAGGTGTATAACAATCAAGAGAGTACATCCAATCTCTGAAAACATTTTTTCTGGGAATCTTCAATCTGAATGAATCATACCTTTCCATGACGTTGTCGAATTAGAGGTTTCTGAATTTCAAAAAAACACACACAAGTTTGAAGGCCTGTTCCGTTGGACATGCATTTTATACTGAGGTTCCGTTGGAAAACAATACGAAGAAATGAATCCGACTAGACCATTTTTTGTCCCACCATGGATTTGTTTTCAAGAAAATTACTTGGTGTGAGAATATTTTAAAAAAATATAGAGGACACATTCTTTGAATAATTAGAATTCAGGTACTACCTCACGATTTAGAAGTACGTGATAACTATAACTGAAGGAATCCACTAGAAAAAGCCTTTTGTCACTTAAGTTGGATTTCCGCTGATTGAGTTTGCTTTGATAACCTGAAATCTTCCACATTTTCCGCCCCCTATTCAGAACTTCCTACCGTAGTTCCAGAATTATTCTTCAATCTCAACAATTCCAATACCGTACTCCGATACTGTGTAGACATTGCCAAACAAATTGGAAAATGTGTTAATGTCATGAGGGATGTTAGGAATCCCAACGCGAATACAAAATCCGCAAAGTTTCTGAAATTTTTATCAGGATTTCTTCAGAATTCCAAAAAAGACTTACACCTCCACAAGCCAAGCAATATCGTATGAGTGGAGGACATAGAAAATTCCAGAGGGAAGCGCGGAAGTCACATACACTATTGTGTTCAAAAATACTAGTTTTGTAGTTGCCGAGTTTCTGAAATTCGGGCGGAAATTTGACATTTTCGATTTCAGGAACTACTTTTTTGGTTTGGGTCTGAAAACATTTTGTTTCGAGATTTTGACTTGACTTTTCGAATTTGAAAAATTTAACTCACTTCATAGGGTATTTGAGCACAAATGTTCTTATGGAGGCCATTGCAAGAAATAAAAATGCTTCACATCGCCGGACGTCATCTTGAACGGTATAAGAAATCCAGGAGAATATTACGTAGGCGTATGAATCCGGAAGTATGCTAAAATATGAAAATTTCGTTTAATGAAATGTCTCCATTCAAAAAATCAAGGTTCAACATCTCTTAACCTCACCATTGTTTGTTACTGTTGGATGATGAAAAACAGGCTTTCAATATATATTAGCAGCAAAAAATATTTGGTTCGGCTCAGTTGCCCGGGATAGGTAACCTTCAACCCCGTCTAAAGGTTCCGTTTGTTTACTATTAGGCTCGTAGTTCTTGACTCTTTGTAGGAATGTAAGTTTTTTGCTCGATTTCTAAGCTTTATTCCTTGTTTGTTACGATTCAACCCGGTTTAGCTATAATGGATCGTTATTGCAACCTAAACACTTCCTACAAGAACCTGATACCCCGGACATCCCGTGAGCAATTGCTCACAAGCACGTCTCAAAACTGCTCAAACTGAGGCAATTTTTTTAGAAAATGTAATAAAGTTGAAGTAGGCCAACAACAACAACCTCAAAAAAGGGTCCAATGACCCTAAACCTTACCATGGTTTCATAGAATTGTAAATATCTTTTAGCGCATCTATTATAGGGTAAGTCATGTATGCCAAATTAGAAATCGCAATTGCTAACAATATAATATTTGTGGAAGATGTTCTCATTGATTTCTGAACCAGAACTATCAAATAAATGGAATTCAGTAAAAATGAAACTGCAGATAAGTGAGGGTCATAATGCAAAACATCGTGTATCCATTGTCTGAAAGAATTGGATAGTATTGGGGATCTTCATCTGGATGATTCTTACGTATTCATTATCTCTCCGGAAGGTCGGTAATGACACTTTAGAACTAAAAATAGGTCATCGTAAACACGCTAATAGAAGACCGTCAACTTTGAGTCTATATATCTCGGACCGCTTCAAATTTTTCATATTTGATCTAGACCAAGCATTTTTTATCACAAAGCCAATCTTTTAAAAAAATTCTGACGGAAAATTGTTTTTTTTTTACTTCTGGAGTCATCGTCACGTCTGTGAAAATTCAGAAGACACAAAAATTGATTGAATTTCAGAATACTTATATAGCGATTTGTTAAAACTTAAGATACATTTAACAAAAAAGTTTTCGATGATTGGACAAGTTTGGGCAAAGTTATGAACAAAAGTATATAGTGACACTCACTAATGTTCGCCACTGTATCTCGGTTCCCGTCAAAGATATAAGAAAGAGGTCAATTGACAAAATATTTTTGATATTATGGTAAACATTTTGTTAGTTGACAACTTTTTAATACCTTTCACAAGAACCGAGATATATAGACTCAAAGTTGACGGTCTTCTATTAGCGTGTTTACGATGACTAATTTTTAGTTCTAAAGTGTCATTACCGACCTTCCGGAGAGATAATGAATACGTAAGAATCATCCAGATAAAGATCCCCAATACTATCCAATTCTTTCAGACAATGGATACACGATGTTTTGCATTATGACCCTCACTTATCTGCAGTTTCATTTTTAGTAAACTCTATTCATTTAGTAGTACTGGTTCAGAAATCAATGAGAACATCTTCCACAAACATTATATTTTTAGCAATTGCGGTTTCTAATTTGGCATACATGACTTACCGGCTCTTGTCGGTTATTTTGGTCCTTGGAATTATTTTTGGTCCTTAGAATTATTTTTGGTCCTTAGAATTATTTTTGGTCCTTAAACTTTTTTTGGTTATTCACAGTGCCTGTGACATTTTTTAATTTTTTTTTATTATTTAGCATTTTTATTTGCCTTGCTAATTGTTTACACTTTCATAATTCAGTCTGCCTTCAAATTATTTATTTGCAAATATGGAACAACTGATAACGAAGTTGGAAACTCGTCGCGGCAGTCTAGGAATACATTTTATTTAGTAACCTTAACTCTATTTCTAATTATCTAATCTTAACTCTATTTCCAAAAAATCTAATCTTAACTCTGTTTCTAATTATCATGGTCGTCCTCCACTTCTTCTTCCTCCTCTTCAAGGCAAATAAAATCGCTAAATAATAAAAAAAATTTAAAAAATGTCACAGGCACTGTGAATAACCAAAAAAAATTTAAGGACCAAAAATAATTTTAAGGACCAAAAATAATTCTAAGGACCAAAAATAATTCTAAGGACCAAAATAACCGACAAGAGCCGACTTACCCTATAATAGATGCGCTAAAAGATATTTACAATTCTATGAAACCATGGTAAGGTTTAGGGTCATTGGACCCTTTTTTAGGTTGTTGTTGCCTTCTATGTACTAGAGTGTTTATGGTAATCAGATGATTTTCATATTTGAAATTTTCAATTCGAAACACAAGATTACCAAGACTTAGGAGATCACAAAAAACGTTTAAAAAAACGAAGCATATTTTCCATAAACCAGTGTGCCTTTGTGTCTCAAATTTCCGTAATTCGTTTTTATCCTAATTTCTCGTTTTTCTGTTTTTTTTTCGCTTCCCAAAAATTTTTAATCAATGTCACAAAGAAGTTAGAAAATCTAGTTGGCCGAAAAAAATTGAGAAAATGTATAGAAACCCGCATACTAGAATAATACTAGTCTTAAAAATACGAAGAATTCCGAGTTATGAGAAACAGCCGGAATAAGAAGAATGAACATCATTTCATAATGAGGTTCCGTCATGAAACTATTTGTCTGTGAATTCATTAAAGATATATTGTCTATTCAATAAAACGTGGGCGCGCCGCAGGTTGCAAAGTGACACGCCCCT